CTTTAAGGTCCCTCCAACCCAAACCATTCCATGAAGGTCTTCACTCTGAGGGTGGGGAGACCCTGGAAGAGGTTTCCTAGAGAAGTTGTGAATGATGGAAGTGTCCAAGGGCAGGTTGGATGGAACTTGGAGCAACCTGGTCTTCAGTCCCACGGGGACCTCCTCCAGTGTCATAAAGCACCACCAGGTTCTTCCACCACAGGGACTTTTTTGGGTGCCTGATGGGACATTTTCCACATTCTTCTTTCCTTTGTCTTCCAGCAATTGCTGAGGTGAACGGGATGTTGGGGAAGAACATGGTCAAGTTCTGCTCTGGTGACTACAACCCTGAAGTTGTCCCTGTGGACACCAGGCACCTGGATCCTCTGCTGAGCACCACGTCCAAGTCACCCCCAACTCAGAACTTGGTCAAGGGTTTAGATGGTAAATTTCATCATTTTTAACCAAAATTGTCATTTCTTGGTGTGGCGGGTGGGAGGTGATGGGAAAAGGAGAAGGCTGAGGAGGCTGGAGGGGTTAAATGGACACTGTTTGGGTTTAAAATGGGAGAAATGAGGGGAAAATGGAGCAAAAAATGAGGTTCTGGTCCCCACGTGCTCTCAGTGAAGCTTCTCTTTGAGTCTTCCCAACTTTGCTTAACCAAGTTCCCAAAAGAGGGAGCTCCAACCCTCTGGAGATGTTCTCAGATGTTCTCAGGGCTTTGGGAACTCCCTGACCTCACTTTTCCATCCTCCCAGATCGACTCTTCTACATCTACACCTCGGGAACCACTGGGATGCCCAAAGCTGCCATCGTGGTGCACAGCAGGTGAGGGGCTTCCCCTCCAGGTGTGTCCCACCTCAAGGAAGGCCACAGCTTTTCCCCCTGGCCTAGGATCATGGGATGGTTTGGGTTTCCCACCTTGAAGACCATCCAGATCCAACCCCACCATGAGCAGGGACACCTCCCAGCAGCCCAGATTTCTCCAAGCCCCATCCAACCTGCCCTTGGACACTTCCAGGGATGGAGCAGCCACAGCTTCCCTGGCCCAGGCTCTCCCCACCCTCCCAGACAAGAATTTCCTCCTCGGGTCCAACCTCCAGTCCTTTCTGCCAGTTTCAAGCCATCCCCCCTGGTCCCATCACTCCTGCCCTTGGCCCAAGTCCCTCCCCAGCTTTCCTGGAGCCCCTTCAGGCACTGGAAGGTTCTCCAGGGTCTCTCCTGTCCCTCTCCAGGTACTATCGAATCGCTGCCTTTGGTTACTACGCCTACAGGATGCGCCCAGACGACGTGATCTACAACTGCCTCCCACTCTACCACTCTGCAGGTGAGGTTCCTCCTCCTCCTCAGTGGCCAAGGTGTGGGCTTGGCCTCCCCCAGCCTGCTCCTTCATCCATCCTTGGGAGGGAACAGCCCCAGGGTTGTCTTTCTACAGGAAAGATTTTGAAGGGCTGGAGAAAGTCCAGAGAAGGGCAATGGAGCTGGGAAAGGGGCTGGAGGACAAGGGGAAGGGGCTGGAGGACAAGGGGAAGGGACTGGAGGACAAGGGGAAGGGGCTGGCGGACAAGGGGAGGGG